GATAGATATGTCCATACTTCATTTTCGGTGATGATAATACATGTCTAAAATTCTTAAGATCTGTCAAGCTGAGTGACAAAAATCTCAACATTGTTTCATGTAAATTTTACATAAAAAGACAAACAAGGCCTGGCAGCTGACTTATATGTGATTCTTCTATTCTAACTTGAATGTTTACATGGATCATAATTATACCAAGACACATGAAAGATGTGTTATTAGTTAGGTTTCATTGCTATAACAAAGTACCTGTGGCAATCACTTTATGAGAAAAGGTTTCTTTAGCATATATGTTTGGAGGCTGGAAGTCAAAACAGTTTGGCACAGTGCAGGGAAGGAACTCCAGGCTACATTAATATCAACTGGGCCCTATTGCTTTTGCCTCTGGTCCTTGGCGTTGGTGCTGGCAGAGTCCCGAGGCACACAGTGTGTCACACAACAGGAGTCTGGAGCACACATCTGTATCTGTATCTGTATCTGTATCTGTATCTGTATCTGTATCTGTATCTGTATCTGTATCTATCTCTAGCATATCATATGAAGCCATTAGGATTCAACCATGGATGTCGTACCTAAGAACTTAATCTAATCATTTCCCAGAGGTCACACTTGAGACACCATGATCAAACTAAATTTTCACTTGTCTCCGTTAGGGTTCCTATCGCTGTGATAAACACCATGACCAAAGCAAGTTGGGAAGGAAAGGGTCTGTTCAGCTTATGGTTCCACATCACAGTTCTTCATCAAAAGGAGTCAGGACAGGACCTCAAGCAGAGGAGGAACCTGGAGCCAGAAGCTGACGCAGAGGCCATGGAGGGGAGCTGCTTACTGGCTTGCTTCCCATGGCTTGTGTTTCAGTTGGTGTTCTATAGCTGTGAGGAGACACCATGACCACCACCACTCTTTTAAAAGAAAGCACTTAGCTGGGGCTGCCTTACGTTCAGAGGGTTAGTTCATTATTATCACGGCAGAAAGCACAGTGGCACGCAGGCAGACATGGTGCTGGAGGAGCCGAGGGTTCTACTTCTGGATCTACATGCAACAAGAAGAGACAGCAAGAGACACTGGACCCGGCTTGAACATTTGAAACCCCAAAGCCCACACCCAGTGACACATGTCCTCCAACAAGACCACACCCACTCCAATAAGGCCACACCTCCTAATCTCTCTCAAGTAACACCACTCCCTAACAACCAAGCATTCAAATTTGGAGCCATTCCTATTCAAACCACCGCAGCTTGTTTAGTCCACTTTCTTATAAAACCAAGATACCAGCTCAGGAATGGCAGCCCCCACACATAGCACCAGAGCAGCAGTTGAGAGCTACATCTTGATCTGCAGGCCCTTGTGATCAAGCATTCAAATACCTGAGCCCGTGGGAGCCATTCCCATTCATACCACCACACACCTGGAGATGCCCGTGAGCACTCTGATGTTGGCCTCTGTATGGATTGCAATGTTAAGTCAAACCTTGTGATAATGCCAGTGGGCTTAGAAATCAAAAGGGATAGGACAGGCTCCAAAGCTACAGAGAAACCCTGTCTCAAAAAAACAAAAACAAAAACGAAAAAAAAAAAAAAGGATGATTTTTGTATGGCCCACTGAGGTGGCATTCCCCTCTGTATGCTATGAATATGTTTTATTGCCACTGGTTAATAAAGAAGCTGCTTTTGGCCAATGGCTTAACAGAAGATAGCTAGGCTAGAAGAGATACATATAGAGAGAGTTGGTGGAGTCAGAGAGATGCCATGTAGCCTCCACAGGAGACAGAGGTGCTGGAAACTTGCTGGTAAACCATGAACCTCATGATAAAATAAAAAATAATAGAAATGTGTTCATTTAAGATGTAAGAGCTAGCTAGGAGTACACTAGAGTCATTGGCCAAGCAGTGTTGAAATAATACAGTTTCTGTGTGATTATTTCAGGTCTGGGAAGCTGGGAAACAAACAAGCAGCCTCCACCTATAGTCCACCATGATTGATAAGGGAATCAGATTCACTGTGATAGGTTCATAAACGACCTTAATTCTCCCTAAGCAGGACTGCTTCCTAATCCACATTCCTTTCCCTGAAGTTCACATCCTCTCTTGGAGGTCAAACCCAGCCCTCAGGCCCAAACAGAGAGCCAGCCACCTGGGAAAGACTTAACCATGTGGCATCAGAGGTGACACCTCAATGGTGTGTGTGTCTGAATGGCAGTGCATACTGGGGTACCCCAAACACAGATGATGGTGGGTGAGGCAGGGACTAGGCTGTCTTGTATCAGAAAGAGGAGGAGGCTTCTTCAACCTGCCCAGACTTCCCAGCAGACATGGCTCAGGGATTCAGGGCAAGATGTACTTGAGCAGACATGGGAGGAGAGTTGTAGCTTGGGGTGCACTGGGTTTGGGGGTAGGCACCCAGAAATGAGAAACCAGCTACAGCTGCCTAAGGCTCCTTTCAGGGCCACTTGACATGCTCAGAGCACACATGTAGCCTGGAACTGCTCTATGTTTTCAAGCTTCAGGTCAATTGGCTGTGTCGCATAGGCACCTGACGCTTGTGCACCTCCAAGTGTGACCTGGGGACCAGCAGCATTGGCATCACCTGGAAGCTGGTTAAAAGTGGAAAACCCTGGGCCTATGACAGGTGAGCTAGAGACTCTACTTCAATGGACATCTCGTGAGCAGCAAGTTTTGATACATCAGGGGAAGTCCATTCTGTAAAGCAGGATTGAACTTTACCTCCAGAAAGACATCCTGTGTCAGTGTGTGGATGAGTGGGAATGCAGAGCCTCCTGAGGGAAGAGGAAAGGGTTTGTCCACACTGCTGGGGAATAAGCAGACAGACAGAGAGACAAGAAAATATAAAAGGCTATTTCAGTATAAAATGAGGCTGGGGAGGTCTGGGATTTCACTTGACTGATGCCTCCTTCCTTAGGACAAGGGCAGCTGAGGTGAAGCCCTTGGCTGCTCGTTATCACCCACCTCTCAGTAGAGGACCCCATCCCAGCACTCATCTATGCCCTAGGCTATAAGCATAGCAGAAAACAGCCAACACCAGAAAGCTTCAGAGGCCTGGGTGACAAGCTGCACTCAGGTTCCTACCTGCCATCTTGGAAGTGCTGCCGTGAGTCATCCCTGAGCCCAGCAGCATGTGGACATCTTAGACAATCTAGCAAACTCCTGGGCAAACTGCCCTGTGCACAGAAGCTTCTGATGAGCAAACTTGGGCAAGACAGGCCCTCAAATTTTGCCAAACCATCAGAGGCTCTGTCTTATCATTGTGCAGAGTGCTGTTATCTCTAGAGCTCAGTCCCACAGTGCTACCCTGGATAACTCTCAGGTCAGGTAATCTTTCTCTGGTGCTTCAGAAACAACTCCCTGGGGGACAAAGATAGGCGCTTCTCACTTGGCGTCTCAGAAGTGCAGTCATTGTTAGCCAAGAAGAGTTCCTCCGATATAGACAACGAATTCCAGCAATACCACCGCTAGAGTATCAGAGCCAAAGGAGACCTCACTCCTCTGATGTGGTTCTTTATGAAGCACTGCCAGGAGGCAGAAGAGAACAGGGGCAGAGCTAAAGACCGACTGCATCAGAATCTTTGCAGCTATGTAATCTCATGTTATTAAATATTGACTCTGTTCCCCGTGTCCTCGTGTGCAAGGAGGGAATGCTGATAGTGCCGCCGTCCTGGAGCTGTTCTGAGAGTTAAAGACAACCTCCAGCCTTAGGAGACCACTTGAGGACACAGTATGCACTAAGCCCAGGGGAGCTGTTGAAGCTGCTTCCAGCCTGGAATCTCAATGAGGGCGAATAATGCAGGGTGCTCACGGGCGCTCTTTCCAAGGAAGATCGGTCACGTGGGCTAGAGGAAGTGGAGGTTCAAAAAGGGAACCTCATGCTCTCTGTCTTCTACCTCCTCTTTTTTTTTTTTTTTTTTTTTTTTTTTTTGGCTGGGATACACTCTCACACTTGGATGGACACATACACCCCACAACAGATTTGCAGCTGTCACGAGAGAGATAACATGGGAACAACTGCCAACAGCTGGGCTCCCAGCCCCACTTGCTCAGGCTGTTCCAGCTCCAGCTGTGAGGAAAGAGGAAGACTGGAGCCAAAATCAGCCTCCCCCACCCCTGAGAAAATCCACCTAAATTACACAGCTGCCTGCCCCACCTCCACCCCCTTGGGCCTTCAGCTGGAGCATGGGAAATTGGATGGGGAGGTGAGGGGCTGGGAGGCCAGGAAATTGACTCTGTTTATTCCTGTCTTCCTGGAGAGTAGGCACAGGACCTCCCTGCCCCCACCCTCCACTGGGGACCTGGGTGTCTAGCCTGGCCTACAGCTGTTGTGTGTCTAGGTCGGGCATCTGTCCTGCTCTGCTATGAACCATAGGAGGAGGGGGCTTTCCAACAGTGGTTCTCAGCCCTGACTGTGTATGACAATCACCCAGAGATATTACCTGCAGCTCCCCAGAACTGAGTGGGGCCTCTTCAAGGAGGGCCAAGGTGCTGGCGTTTTTTCAAAATTCTTAGGTGATGTTAACGTTCATGGTTGGGAACCTGTGGCCGACAAGGAAAAGCAAGACTCTTGGGAGCTGCACATCACTGGCTTCCATGACTCTGGAAACAATTCGGCTCAGGCTCGCCACACCCAGCACAGCTTCAGAAACAGACCTGGCTGGGGTGACAAGAGAATGAATGAAGAACGGATGGAGAGATGGACACAGTGACAGAAAGTAGAGTTCCGGTGGTCTGGTCTCTCTGTTGGGGGAATCAAAGCCCCTCAGCAGCCAGGGGGGGGGGGGTTGTTGTACAGAGCTGAACAGAGAAGTGTGGTTACTGCACATGGCTAAAAGAGAAGGTAGTATTTACAGTGTACAGCTGCCTCAGGGAGGTGGGTCTAGCTAATCTTAGTAGGACAACCTCTGCAGGGGAGCAACCTTCAAGTCATGAGTATCTGGAAGGGTGTGGGGGGGCTATGATAGACATTTTTTTGCATATGTTGTCAATACTCACATTGGTTCCCCGCGAAGGCTATGCAGTCCCTCTGAGTCTGAGGCTGTACGGTCCTCGACATAACTGTGCCTGTGTCAAGAACACACATTCTCTCAAGACTTCAGTCACTCAGGGCTCCCTCCAATCTCTACACGCGCTCTTATTTTATAGATGGGAAATGTGTGGTGTGGGGAGTTGTGACCAAGTCCAGTGTCACTTACGCTGACCGTAATGCAATGATAAAATAAACAAATGGTAAAGGCGCCTTGCTAATATGCGGGCCTTGAAGGGCAGTGCGAGTTGCTAGCAGTAGTGATGGGACAAGGCACCTGCCAACCAAGAGCCAGGCAGGGGAATGGCCATGAACACTCTGAATGTCATCGTCTGGACTTGGGTACACAAGGAAGGGCAGGCTTCAAAAGGCCCCCATTTGCTGCTCCGCAACCACTCAGTGGAGCTCAGCCCCTAAGATGAGTGCCCGTGCAGCAGTCCCTTACCCTTACGCCTGGGTAAGGTGAGCCCCACCCTTTCCAGAACCGTGTCTGTCTCCATGAGTCAGAAGGAACCAACAAGTCCTGTGGTTTGTATTCTGGACCTTCCTCTGTGTACAGAGGGCTCCTGAATTCCTTGGTGAAATGCAGATGTGTGGCTTCCAGGGCATGCCCAGGTCTTTCCTCGGGTCTGTCTTCATGAATGTGGGGTGTACTCGGTTGGGGGGAGGGCAAACAGGCAAAAGGGTAGCTCTGCTCAGGGATTTGGAAAATAATTGGACTTTGGACAATATGTCCAGATGTGTCTTTGTGGGGGAACATGAGGCTCCTTGCAGACACGGATATTGAAGGGGGAGGAAAGAGAAAGGGGATGGGCGTAGGCCAGAGACATACGTCTCTTGCACTACCATGTTCGGGGGAGGGGTGGGCAAAATTCCAGGAATTTGAGAAATTGAAATTAGAACTTGGGCTTTCAGATCACTACGATATGCCTTTGTAAAGATGGGAGATAGAACATATTTTAATAATTGTCTCCCACTCCTTTTAGAACTTCGAAATATAGATTGAGTAGTTCGAATGTTTGCTCCAGGTACTGTAGCTGTGTCTGCTGGATGAGTGTCCCAAAGCTAAGGACACCACTCAGAAAGTAAAGGGCACTCTGGGTTCCACACCTACTTGTCCTCAGGTCTTAGAGTCCTTGTGCTGTGCAAACCCTGCACAGCCTTGACTGGGAGGGAATCAACTGATTCTCAAGGAGCAAGTGTGGGCCAGGGAAGGGCCAGGGAAGGGCCATCATGGATGTTCTTAAAGAGTCTTAAAGAGCTTGTCTTGCCTGGTCTGCAGGTTCCCTTCACAGAGAGCAGACTCCTGAGTTGAAATTGCCTTTTTTTTCCCCTATCTCAGCATCAATGCATTGAAGTAAAGTTCCCAGGTCCCCTTCCCCATAGCAAATTAACTGTCACACATGATGCCAGAGGCCACTGGCTTCCAGGGGGTTCTGATCAAGCTGACACCAATCTCAGTGGGGTATGCTGGCCTTGCTGCTCTGTCTGTTAGGACTATTTCCTAACCATGCTACTCTGCCAACACAAAATAATCCCAATCAAGCCAAATCAGACCAGACTAAAAGATATCCAGGTTTAATCAGACACCTGCGCTCCTGGGTGGCCCTGAGGGGTCGGGGAAGCTACCAATGCGACCACCGGAGAGGAAAAGGGAAAACCACATGTTTGTTTCCTGGGGAACAGTTTTGAAGAGCCACAGTCACCATCCTCCGTGAGCACTATGGAGAGTAATCTCAAGTGAAGGGATTAGGAGGAGCCTCCTTTGGTGAGAACTCTTATGACTGGCTGGTGGCTGAACACACGCAGACAGGGAACTCTCAGGAGGGAGCCAAGACCAGGAGGTGGTGAAGCAGAAGTGCTTGAAAAGACTGTGATAGGGTCAAGTGGGCTGTGAGCAAGTCAGCTGTGTGAACGCACTAGATCCTGAGTCCGGGACTGTGAGAGTCAGAATGGAGCCTGCAGTGGGCGTCCTAGACCTCCCTGACAAGCAGGTCCAGAGCCACTTGTGTCCCCACCCTGACATTGTCAGCTGCACTCTCCGAGGCCACCCTGTAAGCAAATATTTTCATGATTGTGACCATTTGGAGAGCAGCAGTGAGCTCTTTCGAATGCAAGCGTGCCTGTCAGCCATGCAGACTGGACTGCTTCACAGAGTGGGAATGTTTTGAATACCTCCGAAGCATCAGCCAGATGTTGCTCAAACAGGTGCCCAATGTATGACCGAGAACTCTTGAGCTTTGCCCCCTAGAGCCTGTCTGCAGCAACACATGCCGTCTTCCTCTGCGTGTCCTTTTCATTGGTTCCTGCTTCATTCTTCAGCCTCCAGCGAGAGTCCAGCTGCCTGCCAGAGGACCGTGAGCACCAAGGACAAGCCAAGCAAGCATCAGATAAGACCAGGGCTTCAGAAGCCCCACGGTTGACTGAATGAGTAGAGGCACAAATAGTCCCAGTGTCCGGAGAGGCGAATCTCAAGAGGCCTCTGGCTTTGTTTTCCCTTGCAGGCTGTGCTGTGTTGCAAATGAAGTCTTGCCAGCAAGAGGCAGGAATGTCCTAGAAATGTGAGGGCCAGAGGCAAACGGTCCTTTCAACTTGTTTGCTTTTCGCTGGATGGTGTGGCTGCCTCCAACCCTCTCTTCCTGCAAAGACTCCATTTCTTGAAGCAACCCCCCAATCAGCCTCCCATTGCCTCTCTCCCGCTTTGCTTCTGTCTAGCACCTGAGTAAGAACAAAGTGGATGATGTCAATGCATGCTGAACTGAGCTGGCCAGATGTGTCTGCCTTTCCATAATACCAACCTCCCTCTGCCTTCACACCTCTGCCCCAAACACACATCCTGCCACCCCCATCTCTGCAGCACATGCCTGCACGCACGGCAGGAGGCAATTTGCAGCAGAGGGAGTGTAGGCCTTAGTTCTTGATTTCAAGGTAGATTTCTTCTGGCTGTGTTTCAGGCCAGAAGACAAAATCTTGGATGGCATTCAAACTCGAGCTCATCAATACCTCACTCCCAGGATTCAGAGAAGGAGCAGATAAACAGGATAAAGCCTTGTCTACCAAGTTGATCTGCAGTAGAGCGGGCTCCACACCAGAGCACTGCGGTCCCTCCACAGCCCTGGGCTACACCAAGTCTCACAAATCGTGGCTTGCATTTTTTTGGATCCACTTGCCTGTAGAGATGCTTAGGAAAGGGTTATCCAAGATTATCAGTGGCTGCCAGAAAGAGGCCTACTCTTTTGAGTGTACTGAGGACTGGATGGATGACCTAGCCAGAGTTCCCAAGCTGGCTCTCCCTGATCTTTCCCCCACTCTTTATTAATAAAACTCTTAAAGTGGGTTTCGTTGTTTATCTTGTGGTCCGTTCTCATGCACAGCAAATATCAGAAATCCTGTCTCAACAAAACAAAAAAACAAAAAGAAAGGTGTTTGAAGAGTTCTGTTTCTAAAGATAGAGGCCACTAAAGCCAGCCCCAGCCTGTATTCCAGATCACACAGTCACCCCTGCACGCCAGGTCACATAGTCACCCCTGCACACCAGGTCACACAGTCACTCCTGCATGCCAGGTTACACAGTCACCCCCTGCACACCAGGTCACACAGTCACCCCCTGCACGCCAGGTCACACAGTCACCCCTGCATGCCAGGTCCCACAGTCACCCCTGCACGCCAGGTCCCACAGTCACCCCCTGCATGCCAGGTCCCACAGTCACCCCTGCACGCCAGGTTACACAGTCACCCCCTGCACGCCAGGTCACACAGTCACCCCCTGGATCCTCACAGTCGCTGCCTAGGGTTACTGTCCCTACTCTCACTCTGAAGACGAGGAAACGGGGAGAGATCTGTACCAGGTTTTTTCTTCCAGGCTACCAACCAGCTCCCAAATGATGACACAGAGACTTATTATTAGTTCTGAATGCTCGGCCTAGCTTAGGCATGTTTCTGGCTAGCTCTTTTAACTTAAACTAACCTGTTTCTTTTTACCTAGCCTTAGCCTCAGGACTTTTGATCTTTTCTTACTTTCTTGCTGTTTCTATGGCCAGCTGCCTGGCAGGCAGTCTCCTAGCTTCAGCTCCTGGGGATTTCTTGTCTTCTCTTATTCTTCTCCTCTTTCTAAATCTCTCCTCCCATTTATTCTCTCTGCCTGTAAGCCCCACCTATTCCTCTCTCTCTGCCTAGCTATTGGCCATTCAGCTCTTTATTAAACCAACCAGATGCCTTAGGCAGGCAAGGTGAAACAGGTGCAATACATCTTTACATGATTGAACAGATGCAGCATAAATAAAAGTAGCACACTGCTGTGGGACAATGGCTTTAATCTGTAAAGATTTGTTTCTTGTGTTTGTTTAATAAAATGCCGATTGGCCAGTGGCCAGGTAGGAAGTATAGGTGGGGCAATGAGAGAAGGAGAATTCTGGGAAGAGGAAAGACGCAGTCACCCAGATGCAGAGGAAGCAAGATGAGAATGCCTCACTGAGAAAACTACCAAGCCACATGGCTAACACAGACAAGAATTATGGGCTAATATACAAGAATTAATAAGAAGCCTGAGTAAATAGACCGATCAGTTAATAATTAATGCAGGCCTCTCTGTGTGTTTCTTTGGGACTGAAAGGCTGTGGGACCAGGAAGGACAGAAAACCTCAGTCAACAGCTCACGTTTACACAGTTAAAGTAATATTCTGCAGCAGAAACAAATGTAACACATCTTTACATAGTTAAACTAATATTCTACAACAGAGGTTAAATGACCCAGCAATTCCCTAGGGTTCTCTGACAAAAAAAGTAGCAGGGTGCATAAATTCAGAGAACCCTAGAGAAGTAGCAAAATGTATATTAAACTAAATCATACCAGGCATTCAATTCCATGGTCTTTCCATTACAATAATACAAATATGTCAAGATCCAAGGAGTCTTTCATTCTGTCCATCAAGATTCCACCCCCATATCATGCTCCAGCCCTTTCACCAACATCAACAAACGAAACTCCCTGAACCATCTGAGATATGCAAATTGCTACTTTACAGGAAGTGCGGCTAGGGTTCTTTGTTTATGGACACAAATGTCTTCACCAGATTGGGCCCTTCATCTTCTGTTTGTACATGAAAAAAACATTAGAGGCACCTTTCTCTAAGGAGAGAGTCAGATCGCTGTTCATAATTCTCCCAAGGCCAAGACATTTTAGTAAAGAGACAGTCACTTCTCCATCCCTTCCCTCGTTTAGTGACCCTTTGAGCTGTATCAGTTGTGTGAGGATTCTCTAAGCCAGTATTTTTTCCAGCTACCTTTGGATGGAGAGTTTGAGACGTGGAGATGGCCTCCCAGGTCCTAGAATTGAAAGAGAAAACTAAAACTAGCAGAGAGAAACCAATTGTTTAGAGGCGTGACCAGAAAGAAATACAACAGATGCCAGAGTCCAGCTCAATGCTTCTAAACCCATGGAGTGGCATCCTGATCTCAATGCAGTCCCGTGTCTCCATCACACTCAAGATTTGAACCTTGTTTTGGTTTGTTGTTGCTGGTTTTCTTTCCTTCCTTCTTTCTTTCTCTATTTTTTAAAAAAAAGATTTATTTATTTATTCATTTATTCATTTATTTATTTATTTATTTATTTATTATGTATACAGTGTTCTGACTATATGTCTGCTGCAGGCCAGAAGAGGGCACCAAATCTCAATATGGATGGTTGTAAGCCACCATATGGTTGCTGGGGATTGAACTCAAGCTCTCCGGAAGAGCAGCCAGTGCTCTTAACTGCTGAGCCATCTCTCCAGCCCCACTTTTGTTTGTTTTGCGTCAACATTTTGTTCGATAGTCCAGGATGGCCTTGAACTTGTAGTAACCCCTCCTGCCTCAGCCTCTAAATGCTGATTACAAGCACACTGAGTTTTAATCAGATTCCATGGAAACTTCCATCTCTTGTTTTTTTTTTTTAAGGCTTTCCTTTAGTTTTTCACCATATATGTATATCTGTGAATGTGGTGGTTTGAAAAGGAGAGGCCCCCGTAGGCTCGTATATTTGAGTGCTTAAGGTAGCACTATTTGAAAGGATTGGGAGGTGTGGCTTTGTGGGAGGAAGTGTTTCAGTGACTTGAACGTTGGGATCCCAAAAGCCTGTGCCAGACCTAGTGGCTCTCCTCCAGCTACCTATGGATCCAGATGTAGAACTCTCAGCTTCTCTCCAGCACCATGTCTGCCTGCATGCTGCCATGCTCCCCATCGTAGTGACTAAACCTCTGAAACTGTAAGTAAGCCCCAGTGAAATCCTTTCTTTTAGAAGAGTGGCTGTGGTCATGGCATCTCTTCACAGCAATAGAACACTGACTAAGACAGTACGCATGTCTGTGTGTATGCCACATGTCTGTGGTGTAAACAGAGACCAGAAGAGGGGATTAGATTCCTAGGGGCTGGAGTTTCAGGGTCTGTGAGTCACCTGACATGTCTGTTGGGAGCCACACTCAAGTCCCGCAGGAGAGTCTCTGCTCTTCACCAGCGAGCCATCTCTCCAGTGCCTCTTCTTCATAGTAAGACACGATTAAAAAGAGACCATGGGACTTACAGATGGCAAAGTATAAAGCCGCTTTTTATTTTCCATGAAAGGCTAAATCAAACTGAGTTTGTTCATTTTGAATTTGTGGTCAATATCCAAATCTGTCTTTGCCTCTAATAGCCCCTGAAATGTGATCTCTGGACAGCGAACAGTGTCCTTTTCTGTCCTGTACAGGCGGCACCCTTACAGGACAGTACCTCTTTGATGAGTCAATGCTCTTCTAAATGGACAGGGCCAGGGGAGGGGTTCAGGCAAACCTTCTTTAAAGCCTATTTCTGGACCAAACATTAATTAAGCCTGAACTTTTTTTGTCCCTGGAAGGGCCAGGCTGGGTTGAGATGGCACAGTAGAGGGGAAGAGCCCTTTATGGAATTAAGGATCTAAGTTCCCTCTCTGTGTTGTGCCAGCTTCCTGCGTGGTCTCAGGTACACCCCATCCACCCCAGGCCTCAGTTTCCCCACCTCTCGGAAGAAAGATGGGGCCAGACTCTCTCTTTCGGAAGAAGGCCACTGTTGTCCTGTGTTCTGTTCCCACCCCCACCTTTGCGTTTCCTTCTGTCTTTGGCTTGGCTGTGTGTGCCATTCAGAACACGAGAGGAGTAAGATCCCCGGATGGAGGGAAGGCAGGATTTAGTCTAAGAGGTAGATGACATTACTAGTGAGGAGAGAAAGAAGTCTGACTTTTCCACAAGGCTTTTTATTAAGCTTTGCTGGCCTTGCACGGTGAGTCGCCAACACACACACACACACACACACACACACACACAGCCACTGAATGCTACATTGTGGTGCTGGATCCCTCTGGGCAGAAGTTGCTATTTGCAGCGTCCATCAGATCGTCTGAGAAAGTGGGAAGCCAGAGCTGTCAGCTTTCGCCAGGCCTTGCCAGACTGTGTCCAACACAGGGACCTCCCAGGGAGACCAGAGCAGAGGAAATCAAGTTGGAAATTCACTGGCAGCCTACATTTGACCCCATGGAAAGTGTTGACTTGAGCTAAAGGGAATGTCACAATTTACTGTGGCCTGGCTGTGCTGTTCAAACACAACATAGTGGGGTTACCTCTTATCCCATGCTGCTCTGAATGCTGGGCACCATTGTATACCTGCCCTGGAGGACATAAAAGTTAGAATGTCTGGTCCTGGTCCTCAGAGAGCTTGTAGTCCAGTGTGAAGGGCAGTGACAACAGCGGTGGCCGTGATCTATTTTGTCAGGTACCATTCTTGATGCAGACAGATGGGCTTGAGGGGCACAGCAAACCCAGAAATTAATTCTGAGAGGTGGTACAGCTAACTGTGGTGACCAACTTGTCCATGTCCAGCGACACCTATTATATGAGATGGTAAGGCACTTCTGTATGCCTCTACGGTGGTGTTTCATGACCACAGATTGGAGGTTTGGGGGCTCTAGTGAGTGGATTCATCTCTTGACACACTCATGGCGTGATGACAGTGGGGGTGGTAAAAGGCAGATGTGGTTGGAGGTATGTGGTTCCCGAGGGTATGGCCTTGGAGCTATATTTTACTTGATGTTCCTATTGCTTCCTGGATGCCTTGATGTAAGCTGTTCTGCTTTTCCATGCCATCCTTACCCTGATGGACCTCTAAATGAATGAGCAAAATAAGAGTTCCTTCCTGTCTTGGTTAGGGCTTCTATTCCTCTGAAAAGACACCATGACAGCAGCAACTCTTATAAACATTTAATTGGGACTTGCTTACAAGGGCAACATGCAGGCAGACATGACAAGAGAAGGAGCTGAGAGTTCCCCATCTTGATCTGCAGACAGCAGAAGGAGACTGCCCACTAGGCCTGGCTTGACCATATAAAGCCTCAAAGTCAGCCTTCACAATGACACACTTCCTCCAACAAGACCACACCTCCTAATAGTGCCACTTTCTATGGGCCAAACATTCAAATACATGCGTCTATGGGGGCTATTCCTATTCAAACCTCTATACTTCCTAAGGTCAGGTCACAGCTCAACAAAACAATTCCAGGGTAGGAAGGAGAAAAGACTCACAAGGAAGAAATTTCCCTGAGCTTTGAAGGATAATGAAGATTTCTTAAGGTAAAAGAGGCAAGGAGAGACATCATTGTGTGAAGGCCCAGTACCAAGCAGGCTCAGAAGTACAAGAATATAGGGAGCTGGGAAACCTGTACTAGTTTTCTCAGAGACTGCGGAATAGTGTGTAAGGGTGGATGGATAGTAAGATGTGTTGGGGGCTTTGTAAGTTGAACTGTGCCTCTCCCAAAGAGAAGTTGAAGTCATAATCCCTGGTAATTACACATGTGACCTTATTATTATTATTTTTAATTTAATGTTCTTTAGTGTTCTGCCTGCATGCATGTCTTGTGAGGGTATCAGAAGCCCTGGATCTGGAGTTACAGACAGGTGTGAGCTGCCATGTGGGTGCTGGGAACTGAATCCCAGGTTCTCTAGAAGAACAGTCAATGATCTTAATTGCTGAGCCATCTCTCCAGCCCCTGCCTGTGACCTTATTTGGAGATAAGGTCTTTGTGGGTGTAATTAAGGACGTCACATCAGCTGCATGAAGAGTATAAATTCACTGACTGGTGTTCTTATCAGAGGAGACTTTGACTATGGGTTCAGTGGACTGGGCACCACGGGAAGATGGAAGTAGAGATTTGAGCAATGCAGCTAAAAGCAAGGAACAAAGAGAATGGCCAACAGTCTCTAGAAGTCAGGAAGAGGCAAAGCATGGTTGGACCCTCTCAGTCCCAAGGAGGAACTAACCATGCTCATACTGTGAGCAGAACTGAGAAGTAATGTCTCTGACTCAGCTTGTAGAAACTTGCCACAGTAGCTCTGGGGACTCATAGGCATATGAGCTAGCTTGAAGTGTTACTGGCTTGCCTGGGACCTTGGTTCTCATGGGTGTTTCTTATAGAGCTAGCAGAAGGACTTGGAAGCTTCTGTATTCAGATATCCAAACTGATACGCAGACTATTTACTCAGATTATGTATAAGTGCTAAATTATATTGTCTCTTTTTTCTGATTCAGAAAGATAAACAACCTTGGATATTTGCTACTCCAAATGATTGTTTTAAATAATTTTAAATTTGCAGAAGACAATCAAAGAAATGCACGGAGTTCCTATAACCCTTTCTCTCAGCTTCCCCAGTGTTATCCTTCTTCAAGTCAATCATTGCCGCTAAGACACTACCATTATGCACTAACTGACTTCTGTGGCTTCTGTGATGGGCTTCTGGGTTGCCAACTTGCCTCCCAGATGGTTTTCTCTTTCTTTTAATTGCGAGTGAAATGTATTCGTCTTAGAGGATGGATGAAGGTAGGTCTCTCCCTGTCATGGTAACCAGCTTTCTCATCCATCTGCATCAGCTAACTCCCCCAAATCTAGATGAGATGCTCCTTTTAGATGGCCCACTAATTTGCTACTCTTTCTCTTCTCTCTGTGTACTTCGCCCTCTCCACTGCTCCTCAGTAGAGCTGACTATTGGCATTCATTGATTGTTTATGGGATGGATGGATGGATGGATGGATGGATGGATGGATGGATGGATGGATGGACAGACGGATGGATGGATGGAGTCCTTATGTCTGGAGCTACAATTTGTTGCTGACACCAGAACTATGTCACGTTACCTACAAACTAAAAGTGTTTGCATCACTGCTGGGGTCCTGTAGGTGAACTTTCATTGGATCACCAGTTCCCATTCTGCCATGTGGCCTGTTACCTCTGCTCAGTACTCTATGCTCTGCTTCCTCCAGCCTGGCTGGTAAAATCTGTGTGCCTCAGATTAGTCCCTGAGTTTCTATCCCCTCTTGGAAGTTCCATGTAACCTCTCCCACCTAGCTATTGGCCATTCAGCTCTTTATTAAACTGATCAGAAGGCACCTCGGGCAGAGTCACATCTTCAGGGTTATCCCACAACAGGACCAAATGCTTTATGTCACAGGAGCCCCATCACAGCAGATGGAAACTGATGGCATTTTCAGTCCCTCTTGGACCATCTTCAATGA